ATTTTGAATAGAATTCTAKCGATGAGAGTATCTGTCAGCATCAGATTCTCTCCATTATTGAGTACATTTTTTTATGTGCCCCGAAACGTCTATTAAATTAAAAATGTTATTTATTTTACAGAATTTATTCTACTCGTGATTTCTCGTTGACATTTGTTTCGTCCGGAGTTAAAATAAAGAAAGAAATACAAATCTGAGTGATTGATATTTTTGTGCTAGGTATATTAAGCAAAAATGAGGGCKAATTGTTTTTAAATGTTTTAGTTATTTTTGTTGTGTTGCAAAACTAATTTATTGATTAGATTAGTATTTACAGTTTTGAATGATGTATTGATCCATAAAAACTCGCGTAATAGATTTAATTAAATCGAMGACGGGGTTTTCAACAGAAAATTTTGAAAATTTTACGTGATTTTTAGCGTAATTCAGCAATAGAGAAATTGAGAGAGAGAGAAAAAAAGTGATTTAGGTAAACCAAAAATTTAATATTTTTCAATCGAATAAAACTTGTTAGTTTTACCTTCTTAGAATATTTAAAGCATCGTTCGGTTATTAAAAACTAAAATTTTGCAAAGATATAATATGGTCTGTAAATGTTCGATTAATATTACACAGGGAATAAACGTGTTGATAACAGTTCCAAGCAATTATATTTTGCCATTTATTTCCTTAARCTTTCTTCGAATACCAATATCAATGTCAAAGGCAAATCGTTTTATGCCAAAATACTGCGACTAAGTAAACTGTAGCATTTATATTATATTACGCAGGAAAACGATCGAAAACGGTAGTATTATAAAGGGCGAGCTAAGGGCAGGATGTGCCTGGCGCGTTAGAGGTGGACGCGGAGAGAACCGTAAACGAGCGAATGCATATAAGGTGTGGGTTTTGCGTAAAAATTTTCCATGTCGTTATCGTATTCAGAAAGACCTTGGTAGGGCGATGGGGAAGGTAGTATGTGGCGCCGGAAGAGAGGACGACTGCACCGGAAACGCAGATTTTATGATCCTAAAGACGGTGAAAACATAACATGTGTCGCCAAAGCTCACACCCTTCGTGCCGCACCGCGATCCGCATGGGCTATATATATATATATATATATAGATATTCAAAGATTTCTTTGACTCACCGCCACCGACACCCCTTTCAAATGCGTATACCTATTCCTTGAGAGTGTGCGTGCCTGTAAATAGCATAGTTTTCATCGTCCTTGCAATCAGAATAAAAACATTAAAGCGATATTCTTTCCGACTGCTCTTGCCAGCCCACCCATCACGGGACATAAATGTCCACATATTGTGTGCGAGACGACGACTACACACAAATCCCGCGCAGCAGTTAAGGTGGGTGCAGAAAAAAAAAGAAACAAACACAAAATATACGTAGTAATACGACGTGTATACCTATATAATAATATATAATATAATATAGAACAGTACCTATAGAAATATCGAGAAAATAAATCGTAAAAAAACGACTAGTAAAGGATAGTTTTTATCGACGACGACCATATATATATATATATATTATATAACTAAGTGATCTGAGGATTTGACCACCACCACCGCTGGACCGATGTGGTTTACGTACATAATGTTATTTATTTCTTGCTGCCGCAGAGGCTTTTCGAGGATTTCACCGATGGCCGTCGTTTTTCGGACCGATATTTTAACTCGGCGAAAAAGTCCGAAATTCATTAAAAATAATTTATGTAATGTAGATACATACATATATATATTATGCAGTTTGTACTCACTTAATGGAAAATGAGGAAACGTGAAGGAAGTAATAGCGATTGTGATCGATATTAAGTCATCGTTTGGCCTCAGATACCGATTAAATAAGTCTAGTATGATATAATTGTTTGTCATTGTTCCATATAAACGGCATATTGTGTATTATTTCTACAGTTGACATGCCGTAAAAAAATCATTTATAAAAAAATATTTTGTTTCTACAAYGCGAAGTATAATAGGTAATATGTACTCATTATAGGATAAACATACTCGGGTATGTGGTCAACTTATAGAACAAAATGTTCAGAATTTATTTATTTTTTAACATATTATTATAGTAGCTGATATAAAGGGCATCAAAAAACGTTGGCCGCTGGAAGAAACAGGTTTAATGAATTATGACAAACCTAATGTAGTAATTCAAGTGTAAGTACTAAGTAATTACTAATTACTAATTAGGTACTAAAGGTACTTGATTTTGAAAATTAATGATGATCCTAGCTGATTCGATGCAGAAACACAAGTATCTAATCATCAACCTTTATACGTATACTGCACGAGTCGCAAACAATCCAATTAAACTGAAAGTTACGTAAACTACGCRAGATTTAAATTAATAATTATTTTTGTGAAATCGTAAATATTATGTGCCGTTCTTGGTTAATTTTTTATTTTAATCGTTACGAAAATATAATGTGTCTAAATAAAAATTATAAAATAATATATTATGATGTGTTATTATTAGAATAACTAATTTAGTTATAGGTTTAGCATTATAGTTCGTTTGTTCGAAATTAGATTGTGTTCAAAAGACCTAAGTACTGTACGTGGAACTTAACCACACTCTCGAAAGTCAGCGGTAAGCTCCAACTGTTTCTAACCAGAAATCTTTAGGCGATGAATATAATAATACTATACTAACAATAATAACACACGGAACACATTTCAGACTAATTAGTAACTATTATAATTTTGGCGGTGCGACACCCCTTACCGTTATTGTGCACAGCGTGAAGTATTGTACAGTTAGTTGGCGTTCGGTCCGCTATCGAGAAGTATAATACGATGGTTGATAATCCTYGTGTCACATATTATTATTATGTATATTTTAATATTTTTTTGTTTTTAGTAAAATCTTTAACTACGCAGTTTATAAACCTATAAACTTAGTAGCTATATACATATTATATTAAATATATTTAGGTATATTAAAGTATATTGTGACCTTAAAAATGTGACAAAATTTGCAACTTTTGATTAAGATTAATTTTGTGGAAAAAAAGTTCAGATGTCCACAGTGCTTTCATAATTTCACTATATTGTCTATAAACGTACTTTTTTTCACACAATCATCGTTACAAACATTATATCCCGTCTAGCACATACAAATACATATGGCCCAGTGTCCACTCAGTAATGTTTAAAGTGTTTAGACCAATTCAAAGTACAATAAAAATGTACAATTTATACTGTTYACTAGTGATAATAATATCAGACATGCGTATAGTTGTGTGTTCAAAGTGCAGTGTTAAACTGTAGTTTTACGATAATTATTACTTCTCGCTCTTCAGATATTGCATAGTAATTTAATCAAAAGGAAATCAAAATCAATAAATGCTCGACCCTTCTTAGATTTTTTTTTAATTATTCGTAAAGACATTTTCTTAAGGACTTAGTATTTATAATGGCAGTTGCTATCCCTCTTCTGTTATTGTCGAGAAAATATTTCGAATTTCCTGTACACATCATCATCTTCCGGCGTTTTCGATATATATATATTTGCATTAGAAATTGTATTAAGTGCGTTCGGCGGGACACGTTTTAAACATTTTTTTTTTCAAACAATTGAGCGTAAACAAAAGAAATCAAAGGCGAAATATTATCGGAGAACAGACGACAACGTTTTAAAACAAAATAAAAAGCACATTTATGATATATAATATTATTGTTATATATACTAAATTACAATTTTTTTTTTTTTTACTAACTTCTCAATACAATGATGGATTATCAACAATTATCATATGAGCCGTCGAACGACTCGATCAAGCGAATTAGACAATTCATAGTTGTATGTGGTGGACTAAGGATTTTGTCCGTTTAAATTTTCAACGAAAACAACTCCGAATATATTTGAGTTTTTGGAGGGAAGAAGTTGTCAGGTTAGAGCGGGTTGATATGATGGGCGATTGGCTGGTGACCGTTAAATATTATAAATCAAATAGCAGCTCAGCCGCGGCGGGAGATTGCAAGCCACCGATCTCAATTAAACGGGACGGTGGAACTCAATTTGTGCTATGTCACGGATGATCAACGATAAATAAAAWCTTGCGCGTACACTGTATATAATATGTAGGTGGTTAAGACGTGTGTAAGGGAATAAATATGAGAGAATTTTTATGCGGTTGGAAGTATAAAAATGACTAATGAATTTGCTGGAAAGTTGGAGTTTAAAATAGAATGTTTAGTTTATATTATAATATCATATTATTATTTTTGTATAACAATTAACAATAACGTACATTGTTGAAAATTAATTGTCTTCAAGCGTTTAGCGGTATAGCAACTTAAATAGATAGGCAAGTATTATCTACGCAACAATTTAATTTAAATTACATTAAAAATATTATATATTATGTATTTATATTAAAATACAGGCGTCGTCCAATACGCTATATGCGATTTAATTGATGCATTTTGCACGGTATTGATCTTTTTTATGCAGTAATATATTTGAATTTGCTGTACACACTATTAAATATTATGATTATAAAGAAAAAAAAATATTTTATTAATTTATTGCATGACTTGAGATTAGTTTTAAAAACAATATTGAATTCTGGTTAAAACTGATTTCAATTTAGTAATTATTAAAAGTGTTAATCAGTATTAAATATTAAAATCGGATCAAAATGCTGTTGTATAAAAAGCGTGAAGCCATAAAATGGACTAAAAAGTAAAAACCGATGTTTTAAATTCAACAAATCATTGAAACAAAAGCACGACCAAAGCCGGAACTTTTTTTTTTATCAATTCCATACTTCCATTCCTCCATCAGCGTAATAATTATTATAAATGGTTAATGGACTACATCGAAATCGAAATCGAGATAAAAATGATAATAATAACTGTCAATAATCTACGCACGTAACCCAGGTACATACCTACTATATAACAAAGGTAAATACATATTATTAATATCACCTTCGAATCTTCGATCCAAAGTTGTTTAAATTTTTTTATTCGTAAATCCTATAGACTTACCGTCTATTTTTGCCCAGCTGTGCATTGCTTTTGGTGATGTCTCAACATAACACTGAATGTGCACGTTGCTTCCGGTCGGCGCGGCCACCAGTTGATTGGTTACCTTGATCATCGGATGAACTGAAACATAAATATACATCTCCTCAACGACATGGTCATCGAGATAATACTAGAATCATCGTGAGATTATTGGCCACAATGATGATAATAATAATAATAATAATAATAACGGTATATCATAGAAAAGATAGGTACTAAAATATAATATGGACTTTTAGTAGGTATGCACGTTATATAGCCGCCTCGGCTGTAAATCCGTTGTTATTGCTGTTATTACCAAATTAAATTTTCCCCTAATGGACCGTATCGTGCAATGGTGGGACGGAACGGTAGATGTACACGCATACACGTGTAAAAGTGAGTATTAATTTAATACCCATAATGGATTTTCACAGAGTCCTGCTGCCAAGTGTATATCTTTTTCTCGGCATGTTGTGAGTGTATGGCGCGCACGCAATATGTTGGTGAGGTCAATGAATTTTTTGATTTTGAAGCAAAACTTACAGTGTATCTGAACGTTGAATTCCTTGCTGACTGTTGGTGGCACGTTGTTCTTGGCTATGCACAGATACTTGCCCATGTCGGTCCGGTGGACGTTGCTAAGCTCCAGCGTGTCGCCCTTGACAGTGGCCGATTCTAAGATGTACGAATATGATAATAGCAAAATTATATTAGTTATAATAAATATTGATTGTTAAAATACTTATCACCACACAGTATTATTACATGTGGTCATRCCATCAATGCAATTTTTTAAGAGTTTGGAAATCGGTACAATATTTAAAAAWTTTTAAACTTTCAAAGGCAATAAAATGCTAAAATAATTATTAATTTGTCAAATCATTTTGTAGATTTAATGTTTACGTTTATCAATAATTTATGAAATACAAACAAATAAATAGTAGAATTCTATTTTTATTGAAAAGTTTATGAATAAGTATATTATCATTTATTTTTCATAAGCATGCAGGTATTTGTATAGTTACTAGTTAAATTTTAATTCAATGACATAAAATCATTGGATACGAAAAACGATACAGAACGAAGACAGTCTACAGCCTATAATACTACTAGAAGGTATATTTTATGATATAATTGTAATTAAAGTAATTTACTATTTACTATACGTAAAAAATTCCCGTTTTTCCTTAATTTAATTTTTTGTTTTTCTCGGTGCTTTAAAACTACCGGGAATTTCAAATATTAACCATTGGAATGCACCAATTAGATTCACTTTCCAACTAAAAAATATTTTGAAATTAAATTCTGACTGACGCCGATGAAAATTAGTCACCACTGACTGTGTTTTTAACTTGAACAAAGTATAATAATCAAGTAACCGCATACAAGGACATGCAAGTCAAAAAGATACTTGATATATATATATATACCTCATCTGGTCTGTTACAGGTTTTACGTAAATATTATTGTAGACGACCATCGAAATTCTTTTTAGCACAGCGCGTTCTTATTAATTTACAACTGCAATAAAGATCTACAAGGATAGTGCGTCATATAACTACAATTGTTGTGTAGTCACGTTGCGACAAAAGATTTGTTAGCGAGAGTGAATAGATTTTTTTTTTGGTATACAATATAAATTATTTATGATGTAGTTATCATTTAAAAATGCTTATAATTCATAATATATATTATATTTATATATTTATATTAGTYSATAGTGACCATACCTATTCACCTAACTTATTACCTTGAATTGCATTAGGGGCACTTCTCCAAAAATCTCCTTTGTCACGCCACCGACTATATCTCACATTGTTGTATGCAAATACTAAATATGTAGTTAAGCTGTATACGATTTTTTTTCAATTTTTTTAATTTACTGTGTAAAAGAAATAAACTTAAAAAATTAATTTAAAATAAAAATAATTTAATTTAAGTTTACATTATGTATAATATAACTGACATATCTCACAACTTCTCCAATATTCTTCAAYACTGGTTTTTAAGGGATAAGTTGTATGTAAAATCAAAAATAATTACATACATATACGGTCTACTGTAGTTTTGTGCATTACCTAACTAAAACTATTAGTATAGTACTATAGTATGCGGTATATTAATATTTTGCGTTCTACCATACATAAAATGCTCGTTTTGATATTTTATACCATTTTATCTTCGAATTTCCTAGTTACTGTCATCGATAAAACAAAGATTATTAATATGAGGTGAAGTAAATATATGATACTAATAAAGAATCATTAGAGAGGTACACCAATGAGTAAATCATTTATTTAAATCGCTATTTATTTAATAAAGCGCATACATTTTTATTTATATAAAATTTAGAAGGGCCACATATTATACTGTAATTTTTACTATACCACTTGCATTGGTAAACCGCATATTGAAAGATAGCCAAAACTTTTTTTAGATTATTTTTTATAAAAAATAGCACTAAGTAAAAATGATTTTTTCCAGATAAAAAATTCAAATATGTTTGATAACAATTATTTTAATGCGTCTAGTTTATTAAAATTAATTCTGATGTAAAATTGTGAAAATAAAT